ATATATATATATATATATATATATATGTATGTATATATATATTAGTATGTATTAGTTAGGGTTGTACTTTAAGATTTATCTGCCTTTAAACTCCAAAAAAAAAATGAATTTAACAGCTCTAAAAGGGTGTAAACTATCCATGGCAATGTCTCTGCTCAATAGTTTGGTTTCAGAAACAAAACAAGTCATAGTTCTTTTGTTAAACTGCAACCTTGAAAATTTTTATAGGAATTGTAACTAGACCTCTACGGAATTAGGTTATTAGAATTGATGATATAGATGTCATTTGAATAAAGATTTAAAGGAATTTATGTTGCAACTCATGGCATTTAATTCATCTTTTTTAATCAAGGATTAACCCACATATGTAATAGAATTCACAAAATACTGTTTTATTGACTTTCTTCATCTACGAATTTTTTTTAATATTAGTTTAGTAATTACCTATATTATGTGACATAATGGCACTAAACTTGCAAATTTTATGTAATGCTCTTCACTTAATTGATACTTATAATTTTGTAGACTAGCACAAAAGGAATTAATGAAATGGGCTGTTTCAACATTGCTTGCTTGATTGCATAACGAAGTCTGCTGCTATAAGTATTTGTGTTTCAAGGAGCATTGCTTTATACACATGGTCTATCTTAACAATGGCCATTGTCAACTACGGTTTTCACTAGAACTACTATTTTACTAGTTAACAGTTCTATTATTGGCTCAATATCATTGATAAGTGGTTCATTTGATATTTTATAGGTTGGAGTGGAGTAATTTGAGCGAATTTTGTCCCAATTTGAACTGAAAGTGTTCATTTTTGGGTCAAATAGAATTTCAACCTTGATTGATTATAAGCTCGGTTAACCCAAGATTCTTGACTACAAACTAATTTGATGTTTTTCTTAAGTTGGCTTGGTAATTTGTCACTTGCAAAGGATAAATGAGATGTGATTGAATATTCATTTTCCTCAGGCTTATTATGCCCAATTGACTGAAGCCACCTTCTCTCTATAACTTGTTCTCTATAAGCATCACTCTCAAAATTTATCTAATATGCTGTTACATTAGTTGCTCGCTTTAAATTTATCCTTTATTTATTTACAATGTAATTTATGAGAAATGCGTGTTGTGTAGACTTAGAAGGAATCGTGTTAGCGTCCAACAATGGCAAATTTTCTAAGTATTCCCTAGAACCCCAACCACGAAATCTGCCAATTTTAAGTGCAAATATTATCAAAAAAAAAAAAAAGTAAACACAAGTTCTTTTAAGGGCTTCTTTGAGGCTTCATCAAAATATTGTTGAGATCCAAAGCTGCCAAACTTCAATGTAATTTCATAAAGGGGTATCATGGAGCATATGGAAAGCATCCTGTGTAATAGGACCACTTTCCAATCAAATTGAAGAAACCTGTAAATATTATATTAAAAAAAAAGCATAATGAAACAGCTTAACGGCCCAATATTAAGCCTAAACACCATTATAAATCTTTATGTTAAACAGTCATTCGCAATCATATTAACGAAAGATTTTTAAAGCTATTCGTTTTAATATCAACTAGAATAATGAAATTAGGCCTACGTTGTAAGTAATGCCGTGCATTGTCAAAGCAGTTATTTGGGGAAAAAAACGTTCTTTTCCTGGGTTCTGAGGATTGGATAGTCTGGCTCTTCTTGCTGCAAATGATCACCTGAAGAATCTTGCATAATATATTAGCGTCTGTGCCGCGTTCATGAGTTCCTCAGCTTTATGACTGAATTTTGTCGAGAAAAAGGAATGGAAACTCTATTGACGATGCAGCATTAGTCTCCCAAGCTTTGAAGCCTTGAGAAGTGGTGGCACTACCAAAATGGATGGAAATGCATCTTGTATATCTTTGAAGCTGAACATTGCTTTCAGGAGATGAGATGTTTGAAAATGTTCAAGGGCTCCATAACAAGTAATTGGCTACACAGCGATCACAATCATCAAAATTAGGCCAATCACAAGGATAGGCTTTAAATAGTTACTTTTTCAAAAGTTTGGAGGAGATTTACTGTTAAGACTCAAATGTATAGTTTTTTTTTTTTGGAAAAAATATAATTAAATTAGAAACTTCAAGTGGCGTAGTTGCTATCTTTGGGCTTAAAATCTCACAAATAGAAGAAAAAGATAAAGTTTGTAGGCTGGTGATTACCGGTTGGGAGTTGACCCGCAACCTTCTCTTTGTCAAACTCGTCTACAACAACTAAGCCTTCAAAGAGTTATTAGAGCAAGAAGGCTTAATATCTTTATGCATATATTATATAAGCTGGTTTAAGTCCTTTTTGAGAGGGACACTTAGGTTTTGCTCTTCCTTTCAATCTTAGGAGTCTTAACTCATGGGTTGGCTTAAAATGGATGGATTAAGTCCATAGTTTTTCGATTAGAAGATTAAACTATGTTTGAGAGAATTTCAAGCATCCTTTGATACAACAATTAGTTCATTTGCGAGTCCATTTTCAATAGCCTTGCTTTTAACTTTCTTGTAAGGTATTTATAGATCGGTGTTGTTAACTGTAATAGTTAAATTAATCTAATTCAAAGCTAGTAGGTATTTTGATTGCTGTATTCATAAAATTAAAAGTACTTGAAAGTCTGTTTTTAAGAAGATTAATAAGCTAAAGAAAAAAAGTCAAAAGAAACGCTACTACTTAACAAAATACTGAGTTCTTGAATACTTGTATGAGATGGGAAACTATCATTTATCTTTAGAGCCGTACATAAAATCTCACAAGTAGTTAAAATACATCAGATTACTGTCATCAATCATATAGATTATGAACTTTAAGATAAGGGAATCCAGTTCTTAGTGTAGTTATAAAACACGGGCAATTGAATTTTATTCATCGAATTGAAACTCAATAGTGGTCATCCTCACGAAAAATTTTGATGAAGACATTTAATAAAAAAATCTCTAAATAAAATGCAATTCAAATATCACGTAGTTATAAAGAGATGCCCCCAACAAATAAAAAAAAAAAACCCTAAAACCTATCTTCTCCCGTTTAGGGTTTAGGGTTTAGGGTCATAATTGTTGCAACTTCTTGTAGACAAAACCTTTACTCATCACTTATAGAGGGCTTATCTACTTCATAAAAAATAGGAAATAGTTTTGCATGATGTCTTAGGTTTTAGGGTTCTTAAAACAACTAGAATGATGCAACGGATGTAGATTCACCCCTTTGAACTATGAGCTTACCCCCCAACACAAAAAGAAAAGAGTCACATTTCAAAGAACAACTAAATTTTTTTTTTTTCTTTTGGTGTAAATTAAAAAAAAATGAGAGGTTGATATGAAGTAACAATCAAATGATCTATTAAATTAATGAAAATTAATTAGGAAAAAAAAACACGGGCAATTGAATTTTATTCATCAGAATTGAAACTCAATAGTGGTCATCCTCACGAAAATTAGGACCTCTCCTAATACAACTAACAAAAATTTAGATGAAGTCATTTAATAAAAAAACCACTAAATAAAATGCAATTCAGATCTCACGTAGTTATAAAGAGATAACACCATGAAGTGTTTGTAACATTTGCATCACACTCTAATGAATCCCAAATCCAATAAGCACACATGAGATTGAAAAGTTCAAATCTAAAATTTTATTTTTCAAAAGCTAAATTAAATTATGTGCCTCATGTAATATATTTATGGATTTGTTCTAGGCTAGTAGATATTGTTAACACATTAATCCAATTCGATTCAATGATCCAAATTCAAATCTTGGTTTATTTCGGGATGAAGTCTTTTGCAATCATTTAAATTCACAATCAATGAAATCAGAGGTGCAATAGTCAAAGAAACTGCAATTGGTATAAAGATTATACCAATGGGACTCATGAAATTGTATTGCATATATCAAGCACCAAAGAAGAAATATTGATATTATTTATAGCTAAAAATTAGGGATGAGATGGCCTATAGATAAAATTTTTTATTAGTCAAACTAATTTCACACCTTGGAATACATTAAATTTTTATTCGAAACTCACAAACTAGTGGTAAGGTAATCTGTATAAGCTATTAGGTAAGGTTAGACATGTATGAAAAATCCTTTTTCGGAACGACACAACCTTTTTAGGTATCGTAGTCAAAAGACTACGTACAATACTCTTTAAACAATAAACAACTATTTTATTATGGCTAGAACCACTACAAATGATATTGAGATCATTCCAAAATCAAGCTAGACCGAGACCTTGTCAAATCTTAAAAACTAAGTTAGCATTTGGGAATCAAATTAATAAAGAGCACATTCCACCAATTTTATAAACATGCCTAGAACTACCTAAATTTGGAACTACATAATAAAATAAAATGACATAAATTTGCTCATCTTAGTTATTTGATCTACATTTTTGTTAGATTTAAACTATATAACTCTCTATCAAATCCCACATGCTTGACAAATTCTGCGTCAATGAATTTATCATTCAGTATTCAACTTAGTATATTAGTGCATAATTTTCTTTTGCAATTACATACATAGCACCCGAACCATTGCTATCCACAAATCTAATACCCTTTTTTCATCTGATTTTCAAATTGTCACTCAAATATCAAAATTCATGATAAAAACCCAACCCGTATTTTCATTTTTATGAAATTATTAATGGTTTGATATTGGCATGTGTGCATACAATCATTTAAGTAGTTCAAAAATATCACCCGGATGCTAGATTTTGTAAATAGTAATGTTTTGGGTGTTATCATGCCAATAGAGTAGGTTGAAATGGTAATCATTTTCTTTGTTTTTTTTCTTTCATCATATTTGTTTAGAGAATATCTTTCTACTCTATTATGATATTTGTACTACTTATAAACGAGATTATGAATTTCTGAGCTTGACCATTTTTAATTCACGTGATAAAGTCTTTTATTTTTTAACCTTTTTTTTTCAAGAACTTGAAATCCACAAACATATTAGTTGTTTATTTATTTTTCACTTCTGGGTTTAGGGTTTAAGGTTTAGGGTTTTCTTCAATCATGAAATATTAATGATTGACAGTTAGAGTTAAAATTTTGTTAAAAAACTATGACACATATAAATCATTGTGTAAATGCTAAGGCATCTCGTAGAAGCAACACAAGTTCTTAGAATTAAATGAAAATATGACACTCAGGAGGACATAATGGAGAAAAAGGATTTATGTAGTTGACCCCACTTAGGCTCTGTTTGGGGTAGCGGTGTGGTGCCGCGCCACATTTTCAGACATTTGACAAAATTACATTTTCCTGCAGCCTGACTTAGCTAAGTGTGGTAGCCGCCAGAAAACTACGATGACTTTTTGAATATAAGTTTCACTACTATTTCTGCAAACAAGTGCAGTTGTCATTAATGGGCCCTTTGTGGGACAAAGGCTTATTTTTGCTGTTATTGTTATTGGATCATGAAATATTAATGAAACCATGGTATGTATGACCTGTGGTATGTAGAAGCATGCCTTTTCAGTTCGATTAAGCACGCTTGTCTATTGAAATGAAAATTATTGATTTACTTTGTTCTACCTATTTATCTTACGCTTTGTTTGAAGGAGCTTTGTTGTTTAGTGAATTGTTAGGTATGGCCCATACACTGGAAGTTGGAGTTTCTTGAAGTGAAGAGGTGTGTCTCTTGGTGAAGAGTTGTGTCTCTTTATATTTTGTGGGTTGGGGGGAGCGAGGGCGTGTTAGTAATTTATCTATGGGTTTTTTATATGTCTATATATATGTGTAACTCTTGGGTATGTAACTTAACTCCCTTCTGAATAGTGAAATTCGCCGCTCGCTCTCGAGAATGTAGGCATCCTTGCCGAACCTCGTTAAATATGTGCGTTCTTCTTTTGGATTTGTGTCGATTCCTGTGATTGTTTTGCTCTAAATTTCATATCAATTGGTATCAGAGATACCTTGTTATTCGCCGATGATTTTTCATACATACCACAACAATTGGTATCAGAGCCAATGACTACAGACGAAGCGAAGATTTCAGGGATCGGGAAATTTGATGCACAAATTTTGGTTATTGGAGAATGCAGATAGGGGACTACCTGAGGATGCAGATAGAGGACTACCTCTATGAGAAGAAACTCCATCTTCTGTTATTGGGGAAAAGACCTGAAAGAAAATGGATGAGACTGAATGAAATCTGTTGGATCGACAAGTTCGTGCTGCAAAACCGGCAATTACAGCAGTGAAGGAGTTGGGCGGCATCCATTTCCTTCTGAGACAGAACCAACCAGAGGCAGTTACAGACAGTCATGAAAACGGAAAGGAAGGAATATGCTTGGGCAGATTCCTGGGCAAAGTGGAGAAGGAATCTTGGATTTCTAGAGGAATATTCCTATTTCTCTTCAGCTGCTTTGAAGGAAGGATTCTGGAATTTCGAGATCTTGGAATTTTAATTTCCTGGAGCCTTGTTGTTGGAAGTAGAAGGAAGAAATTTTTTTTTTCTTGGAAGCAAATTCCTTTGCCTTTGAGAAGGGGACAGCAGAGGCAGTTTCACAGAGGAGAGGAGTTTAGTGGCGAACATGATCAACACACAAATTTTGTGGATTATTCGGAAAGCAGATGGGCTCACGGGAACGAACAGGTGCGAAGTAGTTCAGATTAAGGGCTGCGGCAATTAGGCGAGTTTTGCTTAAGGAAGATCGCGGTTGCGGCAGGTGTTCGCAAGTTTGTAGCACAAGGAGTTGCGGCAGGTGTTCGCAAGTTTGTCTCACGAGGAGTTGCGATAGTGTTCAGATTTTCGTAGGTTTGTAGCAGGAGAAATTGTGACAGGTGGAGTTTGGCTGGTGTCCGCAGTATCTCGGCCGAATTTTTTGTGCGAACAGGAAATATGCTTTGTGTAAAAAAAAATTTGATCCACGAATCACTGGAAACTACGGGAAATTGCTGCAATTGACAGGGGAAATTTCAGGTTTATTTGAATTTATTTGTGGTATGTGTTTTGTTTCCATACAAGGCAAGTGAAATTCGTTGCAGGATTAAATTCGAATAACAATATCTGGTGTAAAATTCGAGAAAGTGAAGTTCGACGGAACATAAAACTTCAAATTGTTGCAAACAAATGTGAAAGATTTGTTCGCACAAGGAATTTTTTGAAGGCATTGCGGACTATGAAACCTGATGGTAATATCTAGCAACTGTTGGGGAGTATAGTTGTAGGTGGAGTGCACTCTGTCAGATCATATGATGAAAATGCAGCAGGTATGTTGACCAAGTCAGATATTTTCAACAAGTTCTTAGGTGACTTGAACTTGTTGAATGTTAGCAGTTGCTAGTTGGCATGGTTGCCCAACCCACTTTGGTGTAATAAACTTCATGATATTTTTCTCCTAAGGGGCTGGATATTCGCAAGGTGGAGATTTTTTCCTAAGGGGCTGTATATTCGCCAAGGTGGAGAATTGTTAGGTATGGATCATATACTGGAAGTTGGAGTTTTTTGAAGTGAAAAGGTGTGTCTCTTCATATTTTGTGGGTTGGGGGGAGCGAGGGCGTGTTAGTAATTTATCTATGAATTTTTTATATGTCTATATATATGTGTAACTCTTGGGTATGTAACTTAACTTCCTTCTGAATAGTGAAATTCGCTGCTCGCTCCCGAGAATGTAGGCATTCTTGCCAAACCTCGTTAAATATGTGTGTTCTTCTTCTGGATTTGTGTCGATTCCTGTGATTGTTTTGCCCTAAATTTCATATCATGAAGCTCCTTTAAAAGTCACGTGGTTGAATGGACCTCATCGTCTCCTTTTTGAAACGATGATAATTTGCGGTTCTTGCGATACAATGTTCGGAGACTTCTCCATTGCCAAACGTGAATTTTTTCGGACGGTGGCCTTCAGTGCAGCCGAATGGAAGTTTAACACGTTCTCAAAGAAAGTCTTAAGTTTTAACCATTTTTCCAGCGTTGTTATTTATTGCATGTTATTTTTGTAGACTACTTAAATTGCAATTTTCTTTTGTTCAATTTTTTTTAAATTTAATGTTTCCCTTAGTGCTGTTTTCAACAAAACAATTGATATTACAGAGAAAGCGGAGAGCTCATTTGTGTCCCAGTGAAACTTCTGGCGGAACCGAAGGTGAGATGTTAAATCAGCCAAAACGAAGATCCCAAAGAACCCTTGGCTTATTAAAAATTGGTGACAGCCATCTCCCCAGAACCCGCATCCCTGTGGGCTCCTCTTTTCAGGCTGATGTACCTGCCTGGACTGGACCACCGAGTAACAAGCTTGGTTTGGATGGTGAAGTAGATGCAGTTGACACTAGGTGGTTGGGTACACCAATTTGGCCAGCAAAAGGATGTAATGTGAAGAAATTTGAAGGTAATATAGGAAAAGGAAGGCCGGACTTCTGTCATTGCACTCACCCAGGATCTGTGGAATGCATTAAAATTCATGTGAACTCTGCAAGGCGTAGGCTTAAATCTAACTTGGGTCCAGTTTTCAATTATTGGGGGTTTAATGACATGGGTGAAGATGTATCGAATTCATGGACAAGTGAGGAGCAAACAATTTTTGATAACATTGTGAGGCTTAATCCTTTATCTGAGAACAAGAGCTTTCTGGGACCTGCTTCAAAGTTTTTCACATCTAAGAGCAAAAAAGATATAGTGAATTATTACTACAACGTTTATGTTTTGAGACGGATGAGTATCCAAACCAGAGTGGTGTCAGGCACGATCGATAGTGATGATGATGAAGGCAATGATTTTAGGAGCTATGCGTTTGTCCCAGTTCCTGAGGTTTCATACTCCATATCTTCTCAAAGCAGGTACCAAATTTCAATTAATTCTCTTCTTTTTTCTGTTATCAAGCATAAAATTCTTTTTGCACATGTAGGGGTTCCTTCTTATCATATTTTACAGGGATTTTATTTCTATTAAAAAAATTCTCTGAGTAGTATATTTTATCATAGCTTAAGCAAGATTTAGCTTAAACTAGTGAAAAGTCTAGGATTTGTTACATACCATCATTCACAGGATTTACTGGATTTAATGATTTCTTCTCCTCACAAATCATAAAATTTTGAAATAAATTTCCAAATAATTTATTAAGATTTAATAGTTGTCATGTCAAATAATTTTCAGGTTTTATTTATCCCAAAATTTACTAAATCTCGATTCAGAAGATTTATTAATTCCTATTTAGTTAAATTTCCTTCTTATGGCAAAACGGCCTCTTAAGTTTATACAGTATAAGATCTTTTAACTTTAGGGTGTTCGAAAAATAAAAATTCAATGCGGTCCAAGTTCAAGGACAGATAGATGGAATATTCAATTTATCATAGTATATGAATGGTGTGAAGCAGAGGTGGTTTTTCATTCATCCTAAATTCTGTTTCAGGTGTATAGGATGGATGTCTTAAAATTCACTAATTAGCTGCAGCAACTTGCACAAATGTACACGTACTTTTTTGACTGATGAAAGGAACCTACTGATGCATCATATACATCTTGAGGAAAGATTCATTCGATCTGAGCTTCGTGCCAAGTAAGTAAAGTTTAAATCATGTTGGGCCGGTACTAATTTTCTATGAATGAGTTGAGAGCAATTAAATGGCTTCCATGACTTGAGAGAATCACTTGTTATTCTTTCACTGTGAATATGCCAAAAGCAGTTGGGCTTGCAATGAGAGTGGAATGCAATGTATTTTCAGTTTTTCTCCCTAAGCCCTCCTGTCTTACCGTTTTCTATTTATTACTGAATGCACAAATTCAATACTCTTTCAATCAAAATTGGAGTTTATTGCTTGGAGTCACCATACTTTTCTCATTGGACTGACTAATTTTTTTGTAACATTGGACGGCCTTACTTTCTTTTGGGCTCTCTTCTGTCATTGGATTATTTTTTATATGGCTTCAACTTTAATTGATTAGTTTTTGTATTATATTCATTTTGAAGTAATGTCATATATTCATTGTTGCATATCAGTTAAAATTTAGTTAGAATAATTTTACCTTTTCTTTATTTAAGAGCATTAGCCTCCTGAGTGCATGGAATTCGGTGTGCTTCGAATTGAGATGTGATAGGATTCATGGCCTAGTGTTTATACGAGAGGTGGTTCTTCATCATAATGTCAAGCCACATATTTTGAAACTACTGAATCATTTGTAACTATAGAGCTACTCTGGTTGATCTGGATCTGTTTTTTGCAAATTAACATTCAAATTTGATTTTTAACAGACCAATTTGGAATTAATAATAACAATGTCTCCAGCTGTAACGCCATGACCATGGTGCCCGTAGAACAGTAAAAGGGAATTTAATAGTTGGAGCAAATATGTCATTTGTAATTTTCAATTCTTTCCTCTTGCTGCTTGCTAGTCTTTAAAAAAGAGTAATGATTTGCGCTCATTCCCATCAAACTTTGCATCAAAGTTGTTTAGGTATTTATGTAAAAGAGGTCCCGTCCCCACATTGGACAAACTCGTGGAAGAATAAAGACATTCTCTCCGGCCATTGAAATGCGGTTTCCGCCATAAAGTTTTCTTCTTGGATTAATCTCTAACAACGATTTTGCGTCACACTTTGCTGGCAGCATGCGGAGCTGTTATATAATTTCTTTCCATCCTCATCTTGCAACCTCTGCACGCCACTGATATTTTATTTTATTTTATTTTATTTAGGGACATTTAATTACATACCACACTAAAGAATGTATTTCCATACTTTTGTAACACTCTGGTATTATAAAACTATGCTTGAAAAAGGTGTATTTCAACTTTAAAAACTTATTATTAGTGGTATTTTTAATGCGGTGTTAAAGATTTGAGTGGTATGGCTGTAAATATCAAAGTTTAGGTGTTAGATATGTAAATATATAAGAATTGGATGGTTTGTATGTAAATGCCGGTGTCTTATTAGTATAGAAAGATGATTAGAATGATGGCTTTATGAGCATTGGTTGAGCTAATTCAACCATTACCATTTTATCCAAATTAAATAGACTCCAATCAATTTATCTCAAAGAGAATCAGATGAGATAATATAGAATCTCGGATTAGTCTAATTAATTCTATCAGAATCTGAGATTTTTTTTGGAAAGATGGGATTAGGGCTATAAATTAACCAATGCACTACATGAGCAACTCAAACTCAGCTCGATTATGACTCGATCATGTTCGTTCAAATAATAAATAAAGAACCTTGAACATTTGATAATAGCTCGGAGCTTAAATGAACTAAAAATGAACATAATTGAACATGTTTATTTATGTTCACGAACAAACTTGTGTATTGTTTTACAATTCACTCGTTAAATACTCGATATTAAGCTCGATGATAACTCGTATTATATATGATATATTATTTAGATATAAATTAATTAATTAGAATTTATTTAATTATAGATTTAATACTAATATGTTATTATATCAATAATATTTTTTAATTAGTTATTAATTATATATTTATTTTATTAATATATAATTATTTATTTCATTAAAGTTTAGTTGTTATATGTGAAAATACATAAAACTTGTGTGGTATGTATGAAATTCCGCTTAAAATTAACTTTAAACCCCCACAAATCTCACTTTTTCTCTAGGCTGTCACAGTTTCACATCTTATGGTTTTGCTCGAAACATACGAAACCCTAAGTTGCGGTGTGCAAGCATCAAATGCAACAATGGGATCGCAATGTCTGAGGATTTTGAAACTATAGTCTTTCGTATATCTTCTCTTTCCACTGTTAATAATTCCTACCCGATTAGAAAGTAGTGTTGAGAAAGTGTAGTGAAATCATTGTAAGTTATATATGATTAAGAATAAGAATGGTGCATCAATTTAATATAAGACATCTGCAAATTTATTCAAAAACACTAGGAGAAGGACATGTGCATATCACTATGGTTTATGGGAGAACCAACACCTACATCTAAATGTTAGAGTAAGGTGCAAATTTATAAGTACGGTTATACTAAGATATGAGAGATTATATCACATATGATCATAATTCATGAGTATCTATCATTTTTATAGTATTTATAATCGATAAACTAGTAAATGTTATCTGATTTATAAACTATTAAATAATTTACATGAAAATCTAGATACTCATTTGAAATTTTATCTTATTTAAAAGACTCTTTTACTTGTCCTCAACAAACCAGGCACAAATCAAGTTCATTGAAAAATTGAAGCAAATCAAATGTGAATAATATATTATGAATGTTCGATACAAACTCAAGTTAAATATGAATAATTTATAAAAAAAACATACTCGCTCTTTTGCAGCCCTATATAGGATGAAGTCTTCGGCAGTAATAATAGAACTTGTTCTCTTTTTTGAGATGTAGAGGCTCTTTTATCCTCTAATACTTTTTCTTGTTGGCTTTTTTTGTGTTCATTACTATGGACTATATGAGGAGAACCTAATTGCTCAGATTAGATTGGAATCACCAGCATTCCTCGCCAATTGAAGCTTTGCGAAATATTTAGAAGTCACCTTTTAAAGATTTTACCTTTTTTTTTTTTACAATGAATTTGTTCTGCATGCATGGCTTATTCACTCTAAATTATTACTGATATCATGCTTACGTACAACGGCACGTATACATAAATTTGTGATAATTGCTGTCTTCGCATCCACCATTATCTGTATGTGAGGACATCCACAAGTCATAATTTTCTTTTTTTTTTTTTTACAGGCCTCATTCTGTTTCACATATACATAAATCACATAAACAATTTTATTTGATTTATATGGTCATTCAATTATAGTTCATTTATTGCTTCTACTTATTTATTTATTATTATATTTAACATATAATATTCTATATTTACATCGCATCTAGCATCTGTGGATTGAGCCTACCTCTCAAGAATAGAGTCGATTAAATCACGCTACTTATTTTAAGGAGTGGCATGGTGGTGTAATCCACACCATTGTCCCCATGTTCGGACAACACAAAATATTTTTTTCATTTTTGGAGCCATCACATATGTATCATTTTATTTTTATTGAATGTCTCAGTATGGACCGTCTTATTTTCAGAAGTTAGTGAGTCAAAAGGAAAACATGACAATGTTAATAGTAGTTCAATAATGTGTTTATATATAAAAATAATAAATTTGCATTATAAGCTATACAAAAATATCAAAATAACGGCAAAAAAAGATTTTTCTTACGTAATTTCAACAGTAAAACTATATTTAATAAGTCTAAATTAGCTTCTTTCCATAGAATGGCATGCAGCATGCACTCAATGAAAACATGGAGACTTGTGCTCATTGAGGCCATGTTATCATGGTAACCATCCCATGTTAGCCTCACTCTATGGCACTTACCAAGATAGGGGCCACCTAATTAATCAATTTACTCTGGCTAAGTACGGCAGTTCCTTAAAACAATGTTAAACTTGTTGGCAAATATACAACATCATAATGAAAATATTGTTTCGTCTTCAATTAGTAAACTCTTATCATTTACTGATAATATGTAAATAAAATTTTCTTTTTTTCTGACTTAAATTTGATAATAATAAATTTATATGAGATTTATTTTAAAATGAATGTAATATTTGAGCAATTAATTACCAATGACATTATCTATATCTCAAAATAAGTCTAATGATTATACATTGGAGAGTAACTTTTAGGAAAGTTAATCAAAATAAGATTCAATGAACATAAGAGTCATTTTTTTTAAGAAACAATTAATTGCTAAAAATTGCATATTTTTTGCTTGGGGCATTCTATTACTTTATATCTCAGTAGTGATTTCTTAAGATCTTTACTCAGTATTTAAGAATAAATTATGCAAGTTTTAAACAATGTTGTTAATGCATACTTTTTTTTTTTTTCATTACAGAAAATCGTTAGATGTTTTAGATTCTTAAAAGAGTTGGTGTAGCTTCAGTGACTTACAAGATTAGAGAGAGTTATCATAGATGGTTTGTTCGCTTCATACATCGACTATATGATTTTCGATCGAGTTGGGTGAGTAGATGTTTTAAATTTGACTTATGTCAATAAAGGTAAAATTAGATCTAAAAGAACTTGGGCTTGTTATATAAAAAATAATGTTAATTTATTAGAATTAGGTGAAAATACAGGACAAGAGAGAAAAAAAGATTCATGTAGGGAACCCCACTTATAGGATAAAGGATTGATGTTTTTGTTGTTGTTTTTGTACAAAAAAACAATTAGCGGACCACCACTTATAACTTGCAAGTAAGAACAAATAGTGGAGCAAGAAGATTATAAAAGAGAAAAGGGAGAAGCAAATGGGAATAGAGATTGATGAAAAGGAAAGCCGAAACCCTAATAAAGACATAAGAGGAAGGTGAAAGGTCCCATTAATCTTTTGGCTACAAACAAAGCCAACAAGTTTTTGAAGGAAAAATGTGAGCAGGCCAATACTAAAGTTCCCAAGGACTTCTGTCGAATGGAGGCCCACACACAAACATTAATACTTTCTTATACAGCTGTTTTATCTGCATTCAATATTGGAAGTATTAAAAAAAAAAAAAAACTATTTAATTCGGCACCAAATTCAAATTTATTTAATTTGGATGAACATGATGGTTCGATTATAATTATGAAAAATATGTAGATGAAGTGATAAATGCAAAGGCATAAGCATTTAGAAGCACATAGGTGAGAATGGGAAAAGGGAAGGAAGGCTGATAAATTTGGATTAATTAAAAAATGTTGGAGCGGGCATTTGGGTCGATCGACACGTGAAGTAATGCATGACTTCCTGTAGACGTGTAGAGTAGTGGTAAAGTGAGGCGGCGAAGTAGATGATCAGAAGCGCATGATTTTACGCATTTTGTGAGCCCATCATTAATTTTCCTTTCCCCTTTTTTCTTTTGCTTTTGGTTGCAGCACCGCTCCAGCTCTCATGATTC